TGTGTGCCGGAGCCAAGTTAATTAAATCCCTCTGATTAATCTGCACTGCAGTGAGTTCCTTCTCTAAAAGCAAAGGGGGGAGGAAAAAGATTACGAGTGCAGTGGAACAGAGAGGGGTCTGCTGAGACAGACAAACTTTTACTTCCTCCTCAGCTAGTGACAGAGCTCGACTGGAAATCTCACACAGTGTCCAAATGTGAGCACTACCTTCAAAAATAAAGTGACCAGATTGCATTATTCCACATGAGCAGAGACAGAGACGCTCCATCTAGCTACCACCACTGAGGAGCTGCATGAGATCAGATAAGCTGATGCCAATATTAACAGCAAACAAAGGCAACTGCTTAAAAAAAGTTACACTTGTATCAACTAGAAAGAATGGTTTTGAGAATGGATAGACTGCATGAAAAAAACTACTGACCCAAATACTAATCAAAGAACACACATTTATGCTTCCTCTGTGGAATCTGTTGTGAATATAAGCAGTCATACAAAGAATGATTAATGCTAACGAAATGATGATCTATGTCAAAAAGATTATCGGTAAACTCCAAATGTACTTAGTGATTATGTGATATTTGAGATGAAGTGATTAGTTGATGAATTGATTAGCCACTCAGCAACTGTAAATGTTTCATTTCAAGTCATATTTCAAACAAAAATGGCAAACATTCAAAACAATCAATACATTTCACATATTGCTACTCAGGCAACTTGTACCAGGACTAAAGTCCTGGCTATACTTTACATAACAATAGAGTGGGTCAGTTAGTCACATTAAGTCTGGACATAGTTAGCCTAGCTTAGAATAAAGATTTGAAACAAGGGTAAACAGTAAACTATGATCAATTTTATTGGTCACAGATTGACATATCACCACCTGCACTTATTATTTCATTGTATTTTGTTTTTTTCATCAATGGTTTTAGGGGAGTTACATGCTAGAACTGCTTGTCAACCAACAGCATGTGGGCATAGTGACACTGTAAAAAAACAAAAAAAAAAAACAACAAAAAAAAGGCTGCTCATGGCCAAGAAATACTCATGCACTTGACACTTGAGAAAGCCATAGCTTGTTGTTTTTACACTTTTGTACATGCGCACATTAAACACAGGAGATATAACATGCTTTACCTTTGTACAGAGCCAAACTAGCTGTTTCCAGCTACAACTTACTGTGAAGACACAAGGCTGATAATGTTTGATGTTTATATTGCAAGAAAACAATAAGCATGCTTCACAAATGTCAAACTATTTCTTGAAGTTGTCTGTATTGAATTTCCAACATTAAATATGGCCCAATATGCATACTGATGGAGAAGGGTAGCAAAACAAATTGAACATCATATTTAATAAAACATGAAATTCACAAACAGCAATGCTGTAGTGTATTTTTTTCATGCAAATGTATATTTTTTTTATCCCGTTGCACAGTTTTGTAGAGTTTGAGCCACATGAGCCTCATCTGCATTTGCTTATCTAACTATGAATAACATATTTTCAGTGCCCCTTCAATGAAAATAAACTGCACATATCCTGTGTGTGCTGACCATCCACTGACCTGAAGTCCTGCAGACCTCAATTAGTCCTACTTAGTTAACTGTTACAATGTGGGTTAATTTGACATAGAGGTTTACTATTACATCTACAGGCTCATGACATTGAATTCAAACTGAAGAAGGGCTTACAACATCCAAAATGATACAAGCACACTGCCATCCTCTTTTCCCTCAACACTCATGGGTCTGACAGTAAACTGGGCTCAGTTTTTCAGGGTTTTGTCTGTGATGCAGTGCATTTTTCCCTTTTAAGGGCCTGCAGCAAAGTTGGACTGAGCAAAATGGACACAAGAGGTAGCAGCAAGAGAGTAAATGATGTAGTAAGCACAGGGAGCGAGGGGAGCTAAAATATAATGCAGCATCTGAGCATGAAAAATGGTATAATGAAATGACTGAGGGGTAAAGAAGAGAGCGATGGAAGGAAAAAAGGTGGGAATGGGGAGATGGAGAGGAAAAAAGAGGTTAGGGTGTTTGTCATGCTGAGGCTGTAGGAGGCTAGCTGCAGACAGAGTGGCCAGGTCATTTAGAAGCGAATGTGTGTTGCAGTAGGACTAATTAGCATGGTAGCCATGGCTGTCTCACAAAATATTAGAATGTGGGGGAAGGGACAACAGCATGAGAAAGAAGAGCTGCCTTTCCCTCCATTTCTGGCAGAAGGAGCCATTACAGTTTAGCTTCCTTCAGCGCTGAGAACAGGCAGACATCTACACAGGTGGAGGCAGGCTCCAGGCAGGGAGGACTGCTGCACTTAAGATAATTCACTGATATTCCTGTTTCACAGATGCACCTGTATCTGAAAAAGATACAAATGTGAGGTTTAGGCTGCTGTAGGCACAGCAGTGCTTTAATGTAAATGCTAATGCTAGCATGGCAACATGCTTACAATGACACTGATAAGCTGGTGCTTAGCAGTAATGATGCTCATGCTAGTTAGGATGCTGGCATTGGCTAACTTCATTATTACTGAGTGAATCACGGTGCTAATGAACAAGTTAAGGGATCATTCATTTTATATTCTAATCCACTACTGTCACCAGATCACTTGTGTCAGTGGGCTACATTCTCTGGTAAGCATCAGTGTTAGAATGCCATGCCAGTGTTGAGATATTTCTCAGTGACAACTGTGACGGCTGGTGGGCCTATAAAAAGCTGAGGGACAAGCAAAGTCATTAAAATTCCTTCTCTTGACACCATGGATATCTGACAATATCATGGCAATCCCTCTCACTAAAAACAAAAAATGGCTACCTGCTGGTGTCATATACAGTTGTGTTTAAGTTGTTTAGTAACAAATAATTGTCATTGTACATTAACCTTACTGTCTGAATTAATCCAAAAATATTTTGGTCTGTTAAATGTCAGAAAAGAGCCAAAAGTGTCCACCATGATCTCTTAAAGCTCAGGATAATGTCATCACATTACTGGTATTGTCTGACCATCAGTCCAAAACAGAGGCCAGCAGATAATGCTCACATCAAAAAAACTGAATCATCATATTTAGTTAATCAGCTAATGGTTTAAAAACTAAATCTCAATAATGTAACCTAATTGTGAATGCAAACTGGAATCAATAATCAATGCACTCTGCAAACAGAAGTAAAAATTAAACAGAACCATTCTATGTGTGTGCATTAGGCACATACTGTAGATGTACTATTGTTTGCTCAATACTAGCAGCATTGGACAGTCCTGCTGCTATCAGTGATGCTGGCGAAGCTCCTGTGTGTGTCAGCTTGGAGCTTGTCATGGTGTGACCCCATGCCTCCTTCTCACCCTTAGCTAAGGCTCTGCCTAGATAATAAGCTGAACATTAGTGCCAGGTTTGTCTTGCAAAATAGATATCGTATCTCAAGAGACTTCCTGGTTAAATCAAAGCTAAAATAAAAAACAAAAAATTGAATAAAAATAAAAGATGGAAAAGAATAATAGGGCTGTTGTTGTAGAATGTGTTCAATTTTTTAGTGATCTACTCTGTTTTACAATTATCAGTATAATTATTAAGCCTATTAAAATGGCATAAATAATGTCAGATACTCACCATGCATTAGGAATATAGCAGTCTGGAAATTGCTACCATACCTTTTCCTGCCCAACATTAAAAAGAGCATAAGGTATTTGATGAATAACTAACCAGCTCTATCCATTATTAGCATGGTTTTTGTTCCACTTATTCACATAATAATGAAATTAAAAACCTAATACTACAGTGCCTTGAGTGTGCTGTAAAGCGTAGAAAAGTGCTATACAAGTATAAGACCATTTACTATTTAAACTGTTGTTCTTCACAAAAAGTTCTAGCACATAGTGCCTGATAAACTACAAAATTACATTTTTGCTTTCCTGCTTGTGTAGAATCACCTAATTAACCGACAAATATTTCAGCACTGAGATCACAAAGCACAAACGGAACACACCACTGATGCCACTGAGCATGAGGACAGACATCAAACCATGCAGTCCCTTCACTCACATGGTTGTTGTTTTTAATCAAAACCACAACTACTTTCATCACAAAGAAACCTATGTTATTGACTCCAGGTGGTAAACCCTGCAATCCACAACCTCCTATGGCCTAGCATTCCATTGTATGCCATGCAGGCAGCAGGGTGAACAGCATGCTGCCTGCTATGCCTTTAAAAAAACACCTCGGTGCCCATGCTGTTACCAGGGCAACTAGTGAACAAACTGCTTCTGAGACAATTTCCAGTCTAATAATAAGTAATCACATTGAATGACAATTCCCCACAGTGACACTGCCCTTTCCTCAAATAAACTGAGGCACGTTTGAGTCGCTGGGGTTCTGTGATTTTAACAGATTTACACAAGCTGCTGGCTCGCCGTGTCCAGCCGCAGCCAGGGTCAGTTGTGTAGCCTTGCTAAATTGTGTCTTATTTTGTACATACTATTGAATTGTTATGCACCATCTTTTCCACAGGGCCTAGTAACCATGGAGACACCACTTACAGTCTAAATATGCTAATATGAACATCAGTCCTGTGTTCACCTGAAAAAAGTGAAGGTGGTGGGTGCATGCAGGTGATCGGCTACACATTTATCTACTCACCATGTATGGATATCAGTACATCTGATTGTACAGTTTAATGCACAAGTTAGTACCACGTTGTCCTTCTTGTGTGCATCTCCTCTTGGAAGACACAAGCAACCGATCTCCTTCTAGGTGCAACGTGAATTTACCCCCCCCCCCAAAAAAAATCCTCTAACTTGGCAAGCTTATAATAACCTTTTGCAGCATGACTCTGGCATGTCAGACAGAGAGAGGGAAGGAGGGGGACAGCGGGAGAGGGAGGATCTGTTGATATGTAATGACAATGACGCCCTTTGGAAAAAAAAACAGCTGATTCATTCACATAAAACCCCACAGAAACATACCGTCTCCATACCTTTAACGTCAACGAAGTCAAGGGATGTTGTCAGACTTACCATTTCGGGATTTAGCCGTGCTAAAATGGCGAAGGTGGACAGTCTGTCACACACGCATTTGGTTCTGAATGAGTCGACTAGCACGGCTTTGCAGCCCCTGGCAGACCAGGATCCCAGCAGAGAGGAGCTGCACGGGAGAAAAACACACACACAACACAAACGCACAGACACACACACACAAAGCGATGCGGTGAATATAGTGACAGCCCCGGCAACAGAAATAAGAAATCCCACCGCTTTACATCGGTTTTTTAATCCACTTTACACCTTCGGCGGTTGCAGGCGAAGGAGCAGAACGCGAAGAGAACGCGGTGATGAGGAGGCTGAGAGGCGGCGTGGTGCAGGGCTCTCCATGGACACACTGCCAGCACTGAGTTCAGCCCCAAAAATGTAGAATTTATCATAATAATAATAATTATTACAGTAGTAGAAGAAGTTGTAGTTGCCAATATGGTAGCCTACTAAGCATCCATAGGTTACAACTACCTAATTAAATAATCTGTATTTTTCAGATATTATATACATATATTTTTTCAAAACATTAATGATACAATGGCCAATTATAAAAGGCTACACTACAGCTTATAAAGTGGCATCGTTTTTCTCTTGAATGTGTTTGAGCATTTAAGGAAGGCTGAACACTCATACTCTCCAGAAGAGCTGTGTTTCCATGGTAACAATCAGTCACACCTGCTGACTGACAGTGGATCACAGAAAACCAGCAAGTATAATTAGTAACATTAACAATGGCTGCATTCCATTTAGGGTTACTAGGTTGACTGCTCTATTGTGCATGCTGGCTTAATGATACACTATGGCTGTGTTGCACTTTTGTGAAATGAAATGGAGTCTTTATTATTATTATTCATTACAACTGTGCTTTTCATTTAGGACAAGTCAAAATGTGTGCTGGGGAAAAGCCTATTAGAGAGGAACCTTGATTTGGGTTTGGTCACAATATTGTGGAGCATTTGCTTTAGAAACTTCCACAACTCACTGGAAAAAGTTCACATCTGCTAAGATGGGTTCTGATAATGTACCATGGATGCTTGTTACCACCAGAAATGATGATGAGGTTTGGACATTGTATGACATGCAAAATGATTTCATATCTTAGTTCAAAGTGTAATGGCCGTTTGCTGTTTTGAACTTTTATTTTGACTGAACTTCCTGTTTTATGCCAATCTCATCTGCCCCAGCTTTACTCTGGCCATTGATTACCTCTGAGCACTTTCACCTGTTGCTCTTGTCCTCCTGGCACAGCTTTTATATCCACCTTACCTCTCTCAGTCTGCCTGCTAGTTCACCATCATGCACTGTTTTACCTTCCTTGTTATGCTCATCCTCTTGTTTTGCTGGTCCTCTGCTTTTCCTTTGGACTCTCCCCCTCATGCCTCATCTCTGGGCCTTGGACTTTGATTATTTGGACTCTCACTTGGTCTGTTGTGTTCTTTGTTCCTTTTGCTTGTTAGTTATCAGTTTTGTGTTACCATTCCCTGACTGTGCTGTTTAGTTTGCTCTTTTTCTTTAGGTACTTTTGTATTGCATTTAGGCAGGTTTGACTTTTGAGTTAGGTTTTTTATTGCATGTAGTCTTGAGTCTTATTTTTGACACAGAGTTATAATGATATGCAATTAGTCATCAGCAGTGTACAGAGTTTTTTTTTCCTCCATGTTTAGTTGATAAATCAAAGAAGTTTGGTATTGTTGCTGTAGGGATTGGTCATTTGACACTTCTGGCAATTAGACAGTAAAACTCCATTTGACTGACATGCTGACACAGCCTAGCCTTACATTCTGCTGCATCAGTGCACAGAGAAATTAAGCAAATCAAATTGGTGAAAAAGCAGCTATATGATTATGAATTAGCAACAGACATCTGACTTCATTTCTCCTCACACAAACTTGTATCTACTTGATTGATTCAAATGTACATCAACTTGATTGAGCAGCACTCAGGTTTTGATGCAAACATGTACTTTGACCCTGGAATCCAAATGAATTTGTTGGACACTGACAGTAGTAAGTAATTAATGTCAAACATCATGCTGCCTTTTTGAAGGAAGATGATACAAGCTAGAGCCTGAATTTTGGCCTCATGTATACTAACCAAATAAGCAGGTGCAATGGAGCGGCAGAAGCATGACAATCCATCAAAACAACAACCCAGCAGCAGGACTGGTATCTGCTCCTTTACGCAAAGAGGAACAGGACAAGCACTGCGTGAGCCCCACAAAGCGACCTCCAGCAGCTACTGGTGTGCATGTTTCTGACCAAACTGACTCCATGAGGACCTGACATCCTCTAGTACGACCTGTGCTCATGGCCCAGCACCATGCAGTTTGATTGGCGTTTACCAGAGAAGACCAGAATTGGCAGGTCCACCACTGACACCTGTTCTCTTCACAGATGAAAGCAGGTTCACACTGATCACATGTGACCTCCTGTAAATAACCACCACAGGGGAAAATGCAGTGGTAAAGCAAAGCAGGATGGATCACATCAGCCCAGCAGATTACAGGTCCAGTTTACAGCTTTTAAAGTTCCCATGGTCAAAAAATGCCATCTAAAAGAGCTTCAGAAGTCTTCTGTAGGGATGGAGAATCCACTGGAAGAACAACCACCTCAGCTCCGGGCTGGTAAGGCGACTGGATCGGTGTTGTTCTCAGGCCAACCTTCGCCCAGTGACTCGGGCCACTCTCACACAGGATAAGCCAAGCTCGCTTCACTTCACTCTTTTCAATGCAAGATCACTTAACAATAAGACATTTATTTCTACTCATGAACTGGATGTGTATTTTTACTACTGAAATGAGGGGAAAACAGTTTTTTCTCTGAGCTCCTTTTATTTTTTAGCACCCTGCGTCTTGCTGGCAGAGGGCATGGTTTGGTGTCTATCTTTAAGCCAAGTCTAAAATGTCACCTTCTCCCCCCAAAGATTTTAATATCCACATTAACTGGTCCTGGGATCAGCTAGCGGGTGAGTTTAATGCACTGCTGGATTCTTTTGATTTCACGCAGTCATTACTATGCCCCACTTATCAACGTAGGGCCACTCTAGACTTAGTCATCTCTCAAGGCCTATCCCTGTGTATCAGATGTATCAGACTTGGCCATCTCTGATCACTTTGTCATTCGCTTTGAAGTCCAGACACTGACAAGTGTAGCCAGACCTATGCCCCCCGGTCAATGCCGTAGGATTATCACTTCTTCAATGGCCTTGGATTTCACGGATGCTTTTTTAGTCTCCGATTTTTATTTATCAGGTGCGCAAAATCCTCGTATATTGCAAAATCCTCCTGTATGACTTGATACCTTTCTCTCTTCCCTGAACTCTACCTGCGCCCGGATTATGGACTCCGTCGCTCCCTTTAGGATGAAGAGGGCAAGAAACTTCCCTGACCCCATGGATGGACGATGGCACCCGTGCCCTGCAGAGACGCTGCAGGAAGGTGGAGCATAAATGGAAAAAGGATGGCCTGCACGTCTCCCTAGGCTGCTTAAGAGACACCCTCCGTTCATATCAGGAGGTGGTAAAGGTCACTAAAACTCAATATTTATCGAACATCATCTCAGACAGTAGTCATCATCCAAGAATCCTCTTTAAAACTATTGATTCAGTCATTAACCCTGCCGGTGCTGTGCCCATTGAGGGGTCGGTTCTGATCTGTAATGAATTTCAGAAATATTTCATTGATAAAGTTGGGACCATCAGGCAAAATATTCCCAAGCCCCTTCCCTATGCACCCCATGTGTTGCAGATATCGCAGACTCTAAATTCTTTCACCACAGTTTCTCTGCCCCAGCTTAAAAAATGTGTACTACAGTTAAGGCATGCCTCCCCCCCCTTGACCCTCTTCCAGCCAGGATTATCAAGGAGGCCACTGTTGGACCATTCTTGGTCATTTTTATTAATAGCTACTTGAGGTTGGGTTTGGTCCCCACTGCCCTCAAGCATGCGGTAGTTAGACCACATCAAAAAACCTAACCTCGACCCTTCTCTAATTTCCAACTTTCGCCCTATCTCTCTTCTGCCTTTTGTATCCAAGGTCATGGAAAAAATTGTTCTTACTTAGCTGCAGTCTCACTTAGACAACCTGGTAGTGGCTGACAAGTTCCAATCAGGCTTTAAGCCCCGTCATAGCACCAAGTCTGCGTTATTGAAGGTCCATAACGACATTATCACGGCCCTTGATGCCAAACATTGTTATGTTAGTCCTTTTAGACTTATCAGTAGCCTTTGATACTGTCGACCGCGCGATTCTAGTTTCTAAACTCCAACATCTAGTTGGTCTGAGAGCTGCGGCTTTAAATTGGTTCATTTCTTTTTTTGACAGACAGAACCTTTTCTGTTAATATTAATGGCTTTTCCTCCAACATAGCTTCTCTCACCTTGGGTGTTCCGCAGGGCTCGATCCTAGCGCCATTACTCTTTTCCTTATACTGTATATGCTGCCACTTGTCTCAATTATATCAAGCCACAATGTTCATTTTCATTTTTATGCCGATGATATTCAGATTTACATGCCACTGCTACAATCCGACTCAAATGCACTTGCCCAATTATATAATTGCATTCAAGATATTAAGAAATGGTCAGCTGAAAACTTTCTGCATTTAAACAAAAGTAAAACTGAATATATGTTCATTAACCCTGATTCAACTGCAATTGCACCCAGTTTAGATGTCTCAGCCCTCCCACTCAAAGATTCTGTTAAAAATCTTGTAGTAATATTGGATAACAGCTTTAACTTTGATAAGCAGATCAGGGCAGTAGTTAGGACCAGCTTCTTTCACTTAAGGCTTTTAGCGAAGGTTAAGCCTTTTTTATCGCGTCCAAATTTAGAAAAAGCTATTTATGCTTTTATCACCTCACGTCTAGGCTACTGCAACGTCCTCTATGCTGGCATGTCCCAGCCCCTGTTTCGGAAACTGCAACTTGTCCAAAATGCTGCGGCCCTGCTGCTGTCTAACACCACCAAATATGCCCACATTACCCCGTTTTCCGTTCAGTACGCTGGCTGCCAGTGCAGTGGAGGTGAAGTTCAAGGTGTTGCTATTTATTTTTAAGGCCATCCACGGTCCTGCTCCGTTGTATCTTTCTGACCCTTTGTCCATTTATGCTCCG